CCCTTAGGGTAACTTCAAGGAATCTGTCTACCACTGGCTCCCACAGTTCTGTCCAATTACTTAAACTCTATTTGTATAATTGAATCATTTTCCTCATACTTTTTTTTGAATGTACCCAATGTTGTTGTGTACCGACACCAAATTCATCTATCCCATCATTCACAATCATATTTTTTTTATTCAGGGTCCCTGGCCCCTTTCAGCCTCTGCTTAAGGGGTAACTCTGGCTCAACCTTCAACTTTTCTTCATCCTTTAACTGTTTTTGGAGTTGGGAAAGAGGTATCTCACCCTCTTCTTCCCACTCAATCAGCTCTTCCTGCTTTTTGTGAGGTCTCGAGTCAGAACCCTGGACTTCCTCACGGGGTTTTTTGCTTTCCTTATAGCCCCATGATAATGGTGGAACAGAGTGATGACATTGAGTGATGATGGTAACACAGACAACAAATGAATGCTGCTGCCCGCTGTTATCGAACCTCATGCCAGTACCTGGACCACATCGCTCTGTTCACCACTGAAGGGTTTTATTGGCTGTGGACTTATTTCCATCTCTCCTTCCTCCTCAGAGCCCTCATTCTGTCTCCACAAGGCCACAAGGGTTACTCTCCTTTGTGCTTTTGATGTTCAGTCACTTTCCATTCATTTCTCTCAGCTAATTTCAGGTCATTAGCATTAACCTTTTTAACTCGCCCCGCCATTTGATCCCAGATTACAAATGGACATATCTGTTCCACTATTCTATAACAGGGTTCCCACCTCTGGTCTAATTTTTCTTCTCTCAGGTGAATTTTGTAGAACACAGGGTCCCCAACCCCTAACTCTACTTCTTTTCTTCCTCTATTCACCCTCTCATTTCTCTTTTTCTAGGCTCTCTTTATCCTCCTCCTTGCTTGGGTAAACAACTTATGTTGCTGCTTGATTATTAATTGATGATGACCCTCTCTCATATACTTCTTGTGGGGTTTCAACAAATTATCCACTGACAGGACCACATCTCACCCAAACAGCATAGAGTACACTGAGAACTTTTATGTTTCATTTATTGTAAGCCTCACAGCTGCCAGGACCTCTGTCAGATACAGGTCCCATTTCCCAGTGTTATCCCTCACAAGCTTAACTAACACATCTCCCAAGGTCCTATGGGATTTTTCCACCTTTGCGTTACCCTGGGGATAATAGGAGAACTAGTTATATATACTATGTTCAGGCTTGCCAGGACCTCAGTCATTACTCTGTTTACATTTTCTGGTCCATTGTCTGTGTCTACACAGGTGCTCCATACCTAGGAAATATTTCATTCACCACTAGATCAGCCACTGCCTGAGCTTTCTTGTTTGGCATGGCATATGCCTCAGGCCAATTTGTTAGCCAATCCACGAAGCTCATTATATAGATATTCCCTCTGGGGGTCTCTCCGTATGGCCCCAATACATCTATGCTAACCTTTTCAGATGGGAAATTTGGGATATCCATTTTTTCCAGTGCGGCCATCTCTTGTTTTCTATTCTGAGCCTGAGATACCATGTAACTCTGAACATAGTTGATGATCTTGTTATACACTCCAGGCCAGTATCAGGTTGCAGCTCTTATCGATTCCCATATGACCTAGCTCTTCATAACACTGTCCCACTATTTCAGCTCTCAAACCCTTTGGCACGTACAGTCTGAGCCTTACGTCTTCATCCTTCCTTGATAAGTAATACTTCATGTACTGCATACTCAGCGGTCTCTCCTGCCCCTACTTTTGCTCTGAGGGCAGCTATTCCATTATCCTCCTGACTCTTCTTAATTTTTTCCATCCAGTGAGGGTCAGTTGCAACCTGCGTGGTTTCTTCCATATCCGATGTCAACTTGGGGCAGTTTCCTAGTCTATTTGAGTTAATTGCCCTTATTTGGTAGGCCCTATCTCAGGCCTGGTTCCACTCTCACAGATTCTGCTTCCAACTGTTTTGGTATTCTCAACAGTAGATCTACACAGGTATTGTCCCTGCCAGTCAGCTACTCTTATCTTGTAGTTGTACCTACACAATTTCAGTGTCCACTGCTGTATCTTCTTATTTGTCCAATCAACCTCCACCAAATATTGGAGTGGCTTGTGGTCAGTTTTAATAATAAACACTGCCCCATTCTGGTAATAATCCTACTTTTGTAAGGCATACATAATGGCATATATATATATATATATATCTCAGGCCATCTCTGCTGCATCTCCCAAAGCCTGTGTGATAGGAAATACACCATCACTTCCTTCAGTATACCTGGCACTGGACCATCCTTGCTGACAGTCCTCCATCCACCGGAAACTAGCAGACTTTTTAATCAATGCTATCAAAGGGGTTGCCAATCTAGAAAATGCTGGGATAAATCATCTGTAAAAGCCTATCGTCCCTATGAATCCCCCTCACCTGCCTCACCATCTTTGGTTCAGGCATTTCCCTTATTACTTCTACCTTGTCTTCTTCGAACTTAATACTATTCCCATCTATAATGAAACCCAGGTATTTGGTTTTCTCTCTTAAGAACTGGCACTTTGATAATTTCAACTTCAATCTATGCCTTCTTAGTTGATCCAATACCTGTCTAAATTAATCAAAATATTGTTCAAGCATCTTTGAGAGCACCAGAATATCATCCAGATAGGTCATAGTTAAATCTTCAATTCCACTTAGCACTATGGACATTAGCTGCTGAAAAATACCCGGGGCATTGTCCAAGCCAAACAGCAAAACCCTAAACTGAAACTGACCCATGTGGCACACAAACACAGCCTTCTCTCTATTGGTCTCATCAACGACCACCTGTCAATATCCTGATCTTAAGTCTATAATGGAGAAGTATCTAGCCTTCCCCAGCAGAATATATAAGCTTCCTGACTGAGAAAAGCTCATTGATGTGCTGAAAGATCTTCAAGTATTCATTTTTTTTAATCACAATGTAAAAAAAAGTGCTTTTACCACTGAAAGAAACAAGAAGATCTGGATGGAGAATCTCATAAGATTTCAAAAATCACATAAGAAAAGAAGAACTGTTCCACTGGAAGAACAATCACTGGAAAACAAAATCTAAATTGTTAGTTGTTATCTGTTCCTTGGAGCATCCATCAAAAAAAGTAAAGAATGTATAAAGGAAATTTTTAAAGAAGTAACAAGTTTATGGCAAAAGAAATTAAATTTCCTCAATTTATCAATTCAAGTCATACAAGTAAAACTTGATCAAGTGCTGAACACTTATGATGAACGTGTGAAATGAGTAAAATATGATCCATTGAATGAAATTTTTGACATCACAAAAAAAAATGATGAATGGCTGCGTAGTGAGGACTTCAGATCAAAAGCAAAAACATGTTGGATATACAACTGGAAAGACTGTAAGTTCCAAAACCAAAGGATGAAAAGTGATTTTGGAATAAACTTCAACAACAGTAACATGAGCTTCAACTTCTGAGTCAGAAATCCAATCAGAGAGTGAATATGAAGAGTTCAAAAGTTCTGAAGAATAATCCACAAGAAAAAGGAAGAAGTGTAGCAAAACCAAAACTGCAACCAAATTAATAACATTTTCAAACTTATCAACCACCAAAGCAGCAAATGTTTGTCAGCAATTATCTCAAGAATGGATTGACATTGAGACACCTCAATCTGGTATTTACAGGAGTTATGTTAGAAGCATTACATTTACCAAATGGAAAAGCTGATAATGTTGTCAAAGGAAGAACAGCATAAGGATGATTGTTGTGGACACTACAAATGTGAACAATGGAAGCAGGAATGAGATTGTCAGTTAAAAGAGTATTTACTTAAACGTAACTGGCTGGAAAAATCACAATTCATTGACTGTCAACATAATGTTCTTGGCCGAGTGCTTCACAAAGTAATGGATAACAAACTTGGTGGAAACAACACATCACCCAATATTGAATAACTGTTTATCCATGAACTTGTAAATAGCTTTGAACAATTCAAGAAGAATTCCAAGAATGGTAAAAAAGAGATTACTGAAACTGCAGGATGGCATGATGATATGAAATTTCTGCTTCATTTAACTCGAGTTTTCTGCTTTTTCAAAGAAACTGAAAGATTTCCTAAAGTGAAGTTTAAAAAATACCTAACTTAAGTAATGCAAGATGGAATTCTAGAGCAATACTAGCTCTTTTTTCAGAAAAAAGAGACTTGCTATTCAAAATTTGTAGATTCATCTCTTGCAAATGGACAAGCCATTGGTTTACTGACCAAATCTATAATGCAAATGATTATCAGAAGTTCTGTAGCAGCATGCAGGCTTACAAAAAAGCATTAAACTCTGGGAAAAAGTTTTGGAATCCAGAACCATTAAGACTGGAAGTTCCCAGAACAAATCAGTGCGTAGAACAGACAATCAAGTGCCTTCAAGATCTTTATAACATTTGTAAAAAAGGCAGGAAGTTCAGCTTACATTTATTTTGTCTAGCAAAACACAATTGTATATTATGCTATAATTATGTTAAATATTCCACATTCTTTTTTTTATTATATATATATAGCTATTCTTATTTTTAGTTGTAAGTTTCTAACTGTATATACAAGTTTGCAATTTTTTGTTTATTTGTAAGTTTGTATGTTATGCTATAGCTATAAACTGTTAAATACACTAAAAATATATAAGTACTATCCAATTAACTCATTAGCAAATTGAAAAATAAAGCTTCTGAAATATTTTGACTTGTTACTCTTATTGTATATATATGGTAAAATCAAATTTTCAGTTTGGAGTGACCTTTTTCATGAACTAAAACAAATTAATGACTTTTTCATTACTTTTGAATCAAACTTCATTGATTTATGACACAGGAACATAGGGTAATAAATTGTTATAAATTTGAATATATTGGAATATTGATACTCTTCTTTTTCAATTTGGAAAAAAATTTAATTGCTAATATCTTGAATTTTTTTTCTCCCAAGATTTGTTTTGATGAATCTCTGTTTTTATATTCTTTTATAAATTGTTTTACTTTATTTTATAGAAATCACACCAGACAGAGTGTTAAGGTATCTTAATAGAATAGCATCAATTTATTCAAATATGGATCCATATATTAAACATGGAAACAATACACGTGAGTAAGACATAGTTTGTTTTTCACACATCCTGAGTGAAAAAAAGATGCAAATAAATTAAAAACACCTCTCTGTTTGACAGTCTGTCTTGCATTTAAGTATCATGTATTAATTTTTCTTAAGTTATTTTTCTGAGATTTTGAACTTGTTATTTTATTTGAGTTTCCATTACATCAAATTGACTTACACCTATTTTCTAAAAATCAATTAAAAACATCAAGTAGGTGATCTAATTGAATCAAGTCTGAGTTTATGATAGAGCATTTTTTTTTATATCGTAATCTGTCTCAACAGAAATGGGTAACCTTAAAATTGTACAATTTTCAGGTTTACACTGGTCTAAATAGGGATCATAAAGCTTTTCCTTTTAAGAATTGTTGGAGGCGCCAGGTTAGAGGTTTCTCAGATATTCCAGCCATCTTAAAAAGAAGTCCCAACAACTTAACTTTCTTACATCACATAGATGTCTGGCACCAAGATGAGACTTAGCCTGTGGTTAGTAATTTCCATTATAAAACTCTTCTTAAATATTAGATTGTCATGAATGAATTAAGATGTATAAACTATCAAGTAGCAGAAGAGAGTTGAGGCAGTATGAATCACCCATTTTTAGACTGGCATTGATTAGCTGGCTGTGACCAAATAAGTGACTGGAGATTAAATGCAGAATTTCTATGATGTCCCTAACTTTTGTAAAGTTCACTAGAACAAATGTTTCAGTTAACAATAACTTTGGGAGGAGAGATGCACTAATTTCAACTTTGGTCATTTGTGATAATACTAGGAACTTTAGTTTGATTTTCTGTGTTCTGCCTGTATAATGTTTTTATCATCTGAACCTTTAAAAATACACCAAACATGCTTTTTCATGGGACAGGTATTCCAGAAATTGACATTTCTGTTAGCTATTGCTAATATCAGGTTTTAGGTCATGCTCCTGGCTCACCCCTTTTAGTAAAGTGGGGAGGTACTGCCTTAAAGGTCAGAAACCCTTAACAAAGCCAGAAAAATTTACAGCATAATGCATTTAACATAAAATTTAATTTCAAATCAATTTTTAGTAATTAAGAATCTGTTTTGAATGAAAAATAATTATAAATTTCATGTTGAACCTATTGGATTTTTTAAAATTTCATGTGTTGAATCTGTAGGAATTTTCCTAATATGGAAGGAAAGTTTAATTATAAAATTTGTAATAAATAAATTTCTCACAATATTTTTGCAGGTCCAATAAAAATAAGCATTAACTGTAAAGTGACATTGGATGATGTTCCCATTGGAATTGTTCTTCAAGAAGTTACACCATTTCGTTTTGACTGTACTCGGCTATGGATGGAGCCAATTGCAGAAATCTACCTCCCTCTCCGGAACATTCCTTTTATTATTAATGCTCAGGTAGAAACTCTACAACAGTTTTTTAAACATTTAAATGTCATTACCCCAAAAGAAATGTCTTAGCTTTGTATATATAATACTGAAAATTCAAATTTGCTGATTTTTGTGTCAGAGGGAACTAAGCTTAATAAGTTACAAATTACCAATCAAAATATAAAGAATGTTTATTTTTCTTTCAGGCTGTCAAAATAATGCTTATATTCATTTTGCCAACTTTTAAATTATTGTAATGTTAGTGTTTTTCAACAGTGTTATTATGAGAAGATTTTGAAAAGTTGTCAGTCTGATCAAGAACACCTTAAAAAAAAAAAATTCTGTTTGATCATGTGTCAGACCGAGAACTTTTCAGCACCCATTCATATTCATTCAAATTAGCTTGACAATCATACATGAAACAAAAATATACAGCTATATATTAAACACTTTTTCCATGATTTGAATGTTATTTTTTTGTTAACTGATATTTTTTTCTTTTTATTCTTTCCCCAGGGCATTACTCATCTTGAAATTGAAGATCAGAATCTATGTGCAGATTCTGTTAGGTTTAATGACATGCTTGAAGGCCTTTTGCTATTGCCAGATTTAATTGTGCTGAGCCTTCCAAACACAATTCATGTTAATGATAACCCAGAAAATGTTGTCCAGCTAAACCAAATCCTCCAATCTCTCACCAAGCTAAAAAAACTCAATCTCCCTTCCTGCAACCTCCGTGATTCTCTTGAGCTCTTAATTGGTAATTTAACACAGCTATTCGATTGCCTGAACCTTCGTGACTGCCGCCTTAATGAAACTGATCTTGTCTTTCTTGTTAACTGGCCTCTTCTACCTGGCTTGCATGAGTTGAATTTGAGTCGAAATAACTTAAAGTCTGTAGCATCCATTTGTGTCAGTCTGTTGGAGAAGATGCCAAGGATTACTTGTTTCTCAATCTCCTATTGCTGTCTTGGCCCACATATGATCCAGAGGGTAACTGAAAAGTGTAGTGAGTGTCTTGAACTGAAAACATTGGCTATACAAACATTCACACCACTTCCATTCAGTGATGTTCGTGATATTCTTCATGGATGTGCACAAATCAAAGTTTTGCAGATCTGCACCATCGTTCCTGAAACATATGCATTTCCTGGGGCAGATGACGAGATTCGAATGCACAACCGAGAACTCTTTGTTGCATCCTGTCAGGTTTACTTACAGGAATTTGGCCGACCTGATATTGAAATCGAATGATATCATAAAATGCATGGATTGCTGTTGGCTGCTATGTTTTGGTCAGTGTTCTTAGCAGTGGTCCTGTTCATTTTGTGTGTTCATTTCCAAAGCATCATGGGCCACTCTTAAAATATTTCCCAACTTTCTAGTAACTCTAAAGGGAGAGTATTTATATGACCTGAAAATGCAGCCAATAGGATCTTTGAGTTTTAAACGTAGTTGTTATTTAAGGGCTCCCCATATTGACACAATTCGTTATCATTGTTGGTTTTTATATGATTTTTAACAATTTCTTTCACTAATGCAATTCTGATTTCCTATTTATAATGTTATGATGCATTAATAATAATAATTTTTTATGATTATACCAAAGAATAAGATAAGAATTATATAATGATAAATCATTATTTATTATTCATTTATAACAATGTATTTTAAAACCTTTATAATGCCTCATTTTGGTTTTGTTAATCTATATAAATAAATAGTTGTCATTTATAATTTATAAGAATTACAAATATAATGTAACATTTGCATTATAGAATAATGTACTTGCATATATAAGAATATAGTATTATGTTTTTTTTTTATAAAAAATATTGTTTTATCATGTATTATTATGATACTGAGACTTTATTCCACTATTTAACATTAATGGAAAAATAGTCTCCCTAGGGCAATGATACCTTAACCATCTTAATATGAAGACTATACTCATATAGTCACCGATTACAAGCTCATTCAGTGGTGTCTCATTGCCAGGTGAGTAACCTCAAAGAAGAGTGTCTGTTCATACATAAGCAGTAAGATCCCTTCTGATTGGTTGCCAAGTTAATGGTTGGATATGTTCCAGCCAGATCTTGTATGTAGAAATCAGAAAAAGAGACACTAAGACCAAGTCATAAATAAGTTATTTTAACATGTTTTATTTAAAGAATGAATTTTGAAAACATAACAGGAATATGCTTAACCCTTTAAACCTGAGTGACCGGTATACCAGCCCTGTGTGAAAGTGCATATATCCAGATGGTTGTTATACAGGCTAGAATCGTGGACTGCAGAAATGGACAGCAGGGACCCAGGGCAGGAGATCTGTACTCAACAGACGGTCAGGGTTCAAAGGGTTAATTATATAATTTTGATAGTAAACAAATGAAATAATTATGACTATAAACACTACAGCCACTGAGGAAAATATAATAATAAAAAAAAACAGGTAGTTAATTCTAAAAGCAGGTATGACAGAACAAAGAGATTGGACTTTGGTATGCAATCATTGTGTGCGGTTAGTTGACTAATTTCTTCATCTTTATTGTGTTTTTCATGTTTCAACCATGTACTGTCCAGCCTTCTTCAGGTGTCTTGTTCACAAAGAACATTAGCACCCCCCTGATACACATATGTGATGTCTGCATTTGTGTATTCCTGGGATAGTCTCTTCCTTATATCTGTGCTCAACCAAGAAATTCTCACTGAACTTTGTATATACTCCCATCTCCTGGGCCATATCTACAGAAACCAAAGTACATGACATTTTTACCTGATTAATGGGGAGGGGAAGAATCACACCAGTCTTTATGGGACAGAGTGGAAATAACAGAGAGTAGCAGTGGAAAATAAATAAGTTAAAAGAATCAATGCACATATTATGATCAGGTAGACATTAATAGACTTTGTAAATTGTTAGTCAAGATAAAAGGGATTTAATATTCCACCAGAATAGCCCAAGAGATGAAGAATATGTGCAAATTTCAATGGGAGGTCATAAACTTGTCACAAACTTGTGCAGATGCCAGGAGAAAACACCCAAGGAAGGCAGGAGAGTCTACAGCTAAAATAGGAAAAACAAACTACAAAGACAAGGAAATTAGTCTGAACTATGTACAATAATTCAAACCTTGTTTCAGAAAATTCAAAGTGTGCAATATTCATCATAATAGTTATTAACAGAAGTAGTAATTGTAATAATTATGCTAATGACAGTAATGTTATTAGTCATCTTAATAATACCAATAGGTAACAAAAAAAAGGTAAGAAACGGTTTTGAAAAACATTATCCTACAAAAAGAATATATATATATATATATATATATATATATATATATATATATATATATATATATATATATATTTCAAATAATAAACCTTAAGAATCAAAGATTGGTTTTGCATATTTTGTACATTAAATAAAACAAAAAATAAAAACAAAAAAAAACTCTATTTTTTCATGAGATATTGATGGAATATATTTTAGCAATACAAATCTTGATCAAAGGAATGTTCCAATATTAAAGAATTTTATCATCAACCAATTTCTTTTATAGCCTGTTGATTTTTTTTTTAAATAAAATCCCAAGTATGAGAAAAAAATAGTTATGTTAAATTATTCAATTGGCAAACAAGAATTTAAATAAAATTTTCTTGTTAAAAAATGTATAAAAAAAAGAAAAAATTGTAAAAAAAATTTTTACAAGATATTCAAAGATATCAATAAAGGTTTTTGTTACTATTATCTATATATAAAAAACAGAGGATGTCTGTCTGTGTGATACCTTTTCACTCTAGATTTATCCAACCGATTTTGACCAAACTTAGCACAAACCTTGTACAATGTAAGAGATATGTTCTTAGCGTAAAAAATCGATAATTGATAAAGCCGATCAAAAATCAATAAATTCATCTTTTTTCCTCCAATTTTGTTCAAACTCGGAATGTAGGTTACTTACATTATGACAAGCTCAACAATACCTCATTTTTGTTTCTACACCACTGAGTTTAGCAAAAAACAACAAAAAACAAAAAATCTATTTTAACACAAATTTTAAACTAAAAACTCCCTCAATTTTCAAGCAATCTAATACAAACTTCACTCAATTGTAGCCAACAATAAATTGATTGTTAAACACTCATTTAACTTGATAATTGAGTCTACCCATATAGTGAAAACCTGTGTAAATAGCAAAAAATGGCAATTTTTACTGGTTTCTTTCTTATTTTTTGTTGATCTTTCAACCAATTTTCATCAAACTTAACAATTGCTTTATAAATGTATTTTCTTTTACCCTGGTAGCACACTGACAAATTGAATTTCAAAAACTCCAAAATAATTGTGGATCTGAAGTGGGTCTTCATGTTGCCTGTTTTACCTCTTCATGTGTTCATTTAGATAATTGATTGAATAAATACAGACTACTTCTGTAACTGCATTAATTTAAAATGTTTTTTTTAATGAAATTACTTTGAAGTAATTGAAGAAGATAGACTCTGTTACATCTAAACATGATGCTGTTTTTGCTCAACCAGCTGGGTATGGCTGCTAGTTTATTATATTTTGACTGGTTAGTTTTCTGCCCAACATTATGTATCTTTTCTCCCATTTCACAGAACTTCATCTTTAACTGAATATATCTGAACACTTGATTAACTCAGCCTGACCCTTAAACAAAGTCACAACTCATTTTAATATTTAAATAATTACAAAACTGTTTTCCTATGTTACTGCATTTATCTAGAGGAGGGCATCAGAATTAATCAATTTTCAAATACCAATACTTTTCATCATGAATCTAAAGTCTTTTCATCTTTTCATATCACCTGTGAATTTGACAAAAACAAAGTGCAATAAAGATTTGCTTAAATGCTAAATAATGTTTTAAACTCTAGTAACATTTTATGAACTTGATTGGCTAAAGAGGCAAAGATTTACAAGATAAGTCATATCCCCACCTCATTTTACCATTCTTAAATAAGATGAAACTTGTAAGAAATATGTTTAGACCTGATATTCCTCTTGAAACTTTTGAAACAAAGAGTCATTTATTAAGGGATTTAAATATTAAAATTTATCCAGAAGCATTTCTAGTTTCTAGCAAAGTAGGACAAATTTCCAAAATTCAGCAACTAACCCAAATCCTTCAAACCAGATTCTGACAAATCCTTTCACAAATTTTTTTACTATTTTTTGTTTTTTAATGAAAATTTTTTGCCAACTCCATTTCTGTAAAAGATAACATTGAGCTGTTTAATGATTATAGAATAATTATTATAGAATAAAATATGAATGTTGTTTTTGTTTATTAAATAAATCTCCTCACTGATTTTGAGGTAGAAGTCCATTTTTCTATAGAGATATTAAAAATAGTATAGGATTGAGAGCAGTCTTTTTAAAAAAATGAAGTATATCAGTTATTAGTTGCATTTGTTTGTTTAAGCCAAATTATTTTTTTTAAATTCCAGATTTTCATTGGCTGATTAATTTTTAGCCAAATATCCATGTAACACCAAAATAAGATTGGAAAATGCCTAATTTGCTTAAATAAAAACATGAAAATTAAAGCAAAATAAATATTTTGTTACTTAGCTGATTTTTAGCCTGTCTGTACAGACTAAGTGACATGGCAATTAAAGAACACAAAATAAAAAGGGAGGTAATTTATAATTTTTTTACCAAATAAATTTTTTTAAAAAACCAAATAGTGTCATGTTTTTTGTTTGAGTGTTAACCTTTTTCTTGAGAATTTAGTTTTATGAAATTGTGAAATTATAAATTGTGCATTTTTATAATCAAAATAATGAAGGGAATGCTATTTGGATTTTTTTGTAAAATTCTAATAAAAAGGATTTTCTTGACAATGTTACGTTATGCCAGAGGTTTACAAATTAAAGCTTTTGTTAGCCAAATCAAATAGCTAATTCAAACTGTATGTTAAAGAAAATATAATTCAATGAAATATTTAGTTAATAATTAAAGAAAGAAAGAATACATAATTAATTACACTAAAATGTTGCAATATACTATAAATTTAGGCTATACATCTCTGGTTTAAAAGCGGATATAAATTCTTTACTTAATTGTTTCTAGATTTAAATAATAAATATTTATTTAATAAATCATATTATTGTAAAATAATTGTAACTAATTTTCTATTATTGTATTTCTGTAAATTCTTGGATCAGTTTTTAAAAAATTAGCATAAAATAATTTCAAGCAATTTGTAGTTTACATCAGGGATCAAAGC